AATAAATGTAATGTAACGTAATATAATTGTAATGTAATGTAATGTAATTGTAATCTAATGCAAATGTAATATAATGTAACGTAATGTATTGTAATATAATTGTAATTTAATGCGAATGTAATATAATGCAATGTAATGTAATATAATATAATAGTCATTTCCGGTGCTTCGACAAAATAATGATTCAAACAAAAATTAATTAGTACCCAGTCACCTACAAACATCAATATAAAAAATTAAAAAAACAACTCGTTTTTAAATAAAAAATTAAAGTCGCCTTGATTGTTTAATTGTTGCCATATCCTCCTTTACTTAATAATATCACAGCTGACGTCAAAACTAATTCAACGACCTATATAAAACAGTAAAACTTTACATCATAAAACATTGCTAAAATCATCGTGAACAGCTGATTCATCGAGCGGGATCATCGCGCGACGTAACGAAAGTATGCGCGTGACCTTGAAACCCGTCTACAACTTGGATCGGTCGAAACGAAAATACCCGAAGAAACGCGACACTAGCGTCTTCCAACACAATCTGACAGTGAAATAACGAATAGAAAACGCAAAAATGATTGCGACGGTAACAATATTTCTAGAAACCGATTTATGGAATTCGGAGATGTAGAGACATTTGCACCGAATTCGAATTTTCTAGTTATTCAGAGCCGAGTAAAATAAATAAATAAATAACTGAAGAGTAAATTGCGTTTGATTCTAATTGCATATAGGTTCCAGGCAATTTGCAGTCCGATCAAAGTTCAATAGCAAGAATAATTCCATTGAATCGAAACGCAACTTCCTTTATAATCAACGATCACGTGCAACGTTTCCGCCAGCAATCACACCTATCAGGTACGCAATGAAAGAACGAACAGGAAGCAATGCGACCAAAGCTGAATAATATTTTCCCAGAGAGAGCGTAAAGCAACGGTCGGCTGGCCGGTCGGTCGCGAATAAAACGAAAATACATAATATAGACGTTTCCTTTATCTTTCACTCAGGCGTCCCGTTTCCTCGATGCGTTATCTAACAGAGGATGTGGATCATTAATAGTATTGAAATAGCATCGTTATTCCGATATTATTATCAATAACAATTTATTAATAACGATATTGCGTATAGTAATAATAATTACTGTAATATAAATATTATTGTATTACTATAGGTGATGTTACTATATTAATATGCGATATTGCTATAGTAATATTAATGTAATATTTAATATTAATAACGATATTACTGTGGTAATACATAATATAGTAGTAACGGTATTACTACACTGATAAATATTATTATGTTAATATAGTAATATTAGTATATTAATATACGATATTACTATAATAATAAATAATATAGTACTAACGATATTACTATAGTAACAAATATTATTATATTACTGTATTAATATACAATATTACTGTAGTAATATTACTCTATTAATATAAGATATTACTATTAA